TTTGAGTCCTCTACAACTGTAATATAATCTATCACTCACTCCATTTTCTCTCTTTCTCTTTTGTTCCTATCCTCGTAGCCCCTCTCCTCTTTCTTTAGCCCCTCAGAAATTATTTTCCCCTTCTCTTTCCCTTGTTTACTTTTTCTTTCCTTCTCCCTCAGATGTTATCTTCTTTATACACCCTCCCCTCTATCTCTCTCTCCCTCTCTCCTCCCCCATGTAGCTCATCACCACTCCTATGAATGTTGACCCCAAAAGCCACCTACAAGTACATATAAATTGCATAACAGAATCAATTACACAAACCTGTCTAAAACCAACAAAATATATAGCAAAATATCTCTTTATTAAAGCATTGTATGATATCAGTCTAAAAGATTTAACTTCACAATTTAACCTAAATTGCCAATAACAATATGTCAACTTAATGCAGTATTGTTGGTACAATTGTCACTGAAATATATTAAAATTACAATATTGGATTCAATTATTTGCAAATTGTATTACTACAGTTTCTTCCAAAGGCATAGAAACGGGGGTCACTAATAGCTGAGGTTATAAGAAGGGAGAAGCTGAGGTAACATGTTTGTTTCTACGGAACACCTTTTCCTGAAGATAGACTTTACTATCCTACTAAAAATAAACTAAAGCAGATCAAGAGTAGACATAAGAATATTCATTTGAATTCATATACTAGTATAGTCAATCCTCCTAACACTGTACAAGTATGATACATGTCGATTGAAATGTGATAAGAGTTGAAAATGGAAGCAAAGAGATCCAATGTTACCACCTACACAATGAATTTCTAAAAGTAAAATGAGGAAAAACTGTTCCTACAATCTGCTTGAGAAAATCATATTTCATTGACTATTCACATAACTCTGAAAGCACAGAGAGATGACAATTCCAGCAGTACATACATGTAAGCACAATCACTGCCATCATATTATCACCATTTCTGTAACTTTCAAAACTATGCTGCTAGAACAAGGATCTCTATAATTAGGTTAAACTGAGTTGTAGGTTAAAAGAGAAAATACATTTTCATTGAATGTTAAAGACTGGCAACAAACCCATCAGCTCGAAAAATTCAATTAAAATAGTATAATAGGTGTGTAATGGACAGAAACGGTCCTGGTGATAAAGTAGTATTTATTTGTGTCAAACACACAGATTAAGAAAGAATTTGAATTCATTGTCTAGGAACACAATGAATGACACAGATATGCCAAATGAGTTTAAAGAAAATGCAAAATGAGTAACTTAAGGAAAATATAACTGAAAGATGATAGATCAGAATATGAAATTGAAACCAGGCTACATGTAGAACCAATGCTCTCTTATCCACATTCAGTATAGTCTATAGAGTACATGATTTTTCACTGATCTATTGGCAAAATTGCTGGTCTGAAAACAACTCATTTAAATACCTCACTAAAATGCCAGAGCGACTTCTAGATAGTTTCTCTAGAATTGCAGTTCTAGTAGATAAAAAAAACTTTGGACTACCTGTAAGAAGAAGTGCTGACTAATGCCTATCCCTCTGATAAAGTACACACGGTACATGAATGTTGGTAGTTTTCCTTCTACTTTATATGTATCATTAGGGCAAAGTCTGCCAAACCCACATTCCAAATGTAGCTTGTTTCAATTTGATTAGCTATCTCTAATGATTAACAAAAACAAATAGGATCTCATTAATAACAGATACAGGCACCTTTTACCTACATATTGGGTTTCAAAACTCTATCACAAGTAGATAATATAATACATAGTGCTTTGAACTTCAATTTTTTATACAAATTTAGTTAGTTTTCACCCATATTTCAATAACTGATGAAAAAATAACTTATTATTCAGTGTCTCTATACTGTAATTCACATCACATTGTACAAATAATAAGCTGAATGAAGAAAAAGGAACCTTTTATTAAATTTCTTTGAAGATACAAGTATTTAATTGAAACCATATTTACATGTAAATGAACCAGCATACATGCTTTTAGCGTTTTCCAACTCCTTTCTGTAATTGGATTATAATCTTTTTACCGAAAAAAAAAGGTTGTTGAAGGAGAAAAACTATTTTCCAACATACAGAAATATTTTATGCATAACATACATGTTATGATCAACACAACCAAACTGCAATATACCGGTACTCACTATCACATACTCCTACACACAACACATACACAACCGAGGGGAAGTTAAATTGATACCAATATCTATAAACGGTCCAAAACTAAAAAGGAGGAATAATATAAACGAGAGATGACCAAGTATGTAGTACACAAATGCCGAGTACAGTTCTTCAAAGAATTATCTGTATAGGATTTCTGATAAATTAACTGTTTTCAATAGTTAAATGTGAAAACATTATCTTAATGATAAATTACAATGTAGTCATATCCTTAAAAACTTTAAACTTACGAACAAAAACAAACATACACCACACATACCAGTTCAAACATGGAGACATTCAGCAATTCAGCTTTCATACAAACACTACAAACCATGTCCACATCCACACTGCCCCTCCCCCCCTCCCTCCCCCTCCCTCTCCCCCTCCCCCACTCCCCCTCCCCCCTCACCACCACCACTACAGTACTCTCTACACTACACACACAATATTGCAACAAACTGTTACGCATTGCACCATACACTATCACATCGGTCACACAGTAACATACTATATTAATTAAAAAAAGTTTTAAAGAATGAACTGTCAGAATAACTTACTACATGTAAGTCTTAAATAAGAATAATGTTAAAATCATAGAAAAATTATGAAAATTTGTAAAAACAGCCAAAGTTAGGGCCCTATGAATTGCTCGTAGATCATCATCATTTTACTTTTCAAGCATCAACTACATGCATCCTCCTTTATAAACCAGGCTTTAGGCAACTGACTATTTAATGGTGATCATATCACAAATATCAAATGCAAGAACAATTTGAAGTTGAATGAAAAAAGTCTACTAGGAGCCAATCGATTACTTGTATCTGAGCTAAACAAAATTTCATTTGTTTTCACCAAAATAAGTATTGATGATTTTTCTTTTTTGTTTTAGCAAAACTCCTTCCCCCTCCCTTAAAAGAGAGGAGGAATGGAGAAACAGATTTCCATCCACAGAAAAGGCACTGGCTTTCACTTTTTCTACTGGACCCCCCCCCCCCCCCCCCCCTCAAAACAGAAATAAATATATCAACATAAATTAATTCTAAAACTAATACAAAAATTGATAAAATGAGAATCAGTTTCTCATTTTGTTCACATAGTAACAAACAAATTCTCAGTCACACAGTAACCACAACCACACTTGACAAAATCCAAGCATACAATATCAGGAAATAAATTAATCTGCATAAATATATATGAAACTTAATAAAGTAACTATAACTTATATAAATCTTATCACTGCAAACATCCAGTAAACATAACATTAGTGTAATGTATGATGCTATGAAATACTTGCAGATGTTTTTCATTTCAGAATAGTTTACAAAAGAAAAATAAGAGGGGGTTACATACTCATATTTCATTCACACGCCAATCATTCCACAGTCAACACTCACATGCATCCGTCTTTAAATTGAGAATTTAACAATTCTATCCAAAATAGTTCCCAAGAGTTTCCAACACTTCTAAATGGTTTACAAGACAGAAAATGTACCAGTATATTTTGCCAAAATGTACAAAAACAAGCAAAAAAATAGGCACTTTCCCAAAAGTTTGAAATACACTTTTAAGTCAATGAGAGGGCTTAAAGGTAAAGACCAGTATTGGAAACGCCCCAATTTCAAAAAATGAAATGGAAGCTCTCATTACCAATCATGTGAAAGAACATGTTTTGACTGAAACATGATGTTAACAAATTTGCCGGGAAACCGCCTACTAATTCATATATTTGGTAAATTTGTTTCTCTCATGGTCTGTGAGAGATATAGGGTAGTCCCATATACATCTTTCTGTGTATAGTGCTTGTAACTTTACGAAGAATGGGCCAAATTTCTTATCATTTTGATGATTCCAGAACCTTGCAGATGCTAGATGCTAGATGATCAACCTTTTCTGATCGATTCCACAACGTTTCTTTCACAATGCAATCGCATGACCATAACTGGTCTTTACCTTTAAACACAAGAAAATATCTTTTCTTTTGTGGAGTTACTGTACATAACAAATACACCACATATTTGATCATGTTATGAAATTGACATGAAGCAAGAAATAAGAAAATGATGCTAAATACTGAAATATCATTGAATTTATTTCAATTTAGAAAACTATTTGACATTCAATGCCTGATGAACCAGAAATATACACATATTACATACCGTACTCAAAAATAATTGCAAACAGTTAACCTAACGGTTTAGCTTAATCAACACTCATTTCATATCGTTTTATCACAAAGTGTAACATTTGTAATATTATTATCTCCTTCCTCTCTGTACATGCATTGTCACTGACTTGCAAAATTTACATGTATCAAAATGGATAAAACAAATCTTTATTTTAATCATATCATGTGAAATCATCCCAGTCTATACACCGACAGTATAATATAATATTCAGCTTTTATATAGTGCTTAAAAGTTAATACATCTCGGACGTCTCTAAGCACTTTACAGATATATTATTACCCCGGTCATTGGATTCAGTGCTTGCCCGCACAAATTGTGTGCACAATCTCTACTCCCAGGAGAGCATTCCAGCCAGGCATTACTTGACGCTCAAAAACTGTTTGACCATCAATGACGGTCGCATCCTACCGGGTACCCATTTTAACACCTGGATGGAGATTAGCAAATGTAGGTTAATATCTTGCCAAAGGATATTAGTGCCATGTCGAAACATTTAACAATTGTCAAACTGGCGTCAACTTGAAGGCCCATGACTACTCTCTTAAGTTTGATACCAAATTATAGTGCCACAACACTGGTAATGAATAAAATGTTGGTGATAGTGAAAAATCAGTTCTGATTTGAGGTGTACCCAATCTTTCATAGGGCGCTGTATGTCTCTTCTTCCACATACAACCATGTTGGATTAAAGAGGAATATAAGTGAGTAAAACGGAGACTCCAAATCTCTGCTATGAGCAACAATATAGTTGGATAAGGATTAGAAGGCTAATCCTGATCTCCGTCTTTGTTTTGATGTCTGCTAGAACCCAATTGTACTCACTTCATATACAATCCACTTTGATCTCAAAATCGTATACGGTCCACATTTGCCTTCATGCTGTGCCAAGTCATGACTGGATCAGGATTAGAGTTAATCTTAATCTCCAATCTTGGATCTACTGCCTTGGATCTACTCATCTACCACGTCTACATGTACATGGATGAAAAATACCAAACAAGGATCGCAGTTGTATAGAGTCCATATCTCTGAACTTAGATCTTTACAAAGTCATAAATGGATTGGGATGATCTCCTTTTAATCCCCCAATCTCTGATCCACGATCTCCTGCTTGACCATAACACCTGCAACAGGCCCATCTTGTTGTCGGTGGCTTGGACCAGGGATGGTGTTGTCCTTGTTAAGGTCAGCGAGGGTCAACGGTCCAGACAATACCTTGATCTTCTCGGGACCACTCTTGGCGGTGACATGGAGGAGGGATTTGTACTTCCTGTGGAGGTCGTCAAGGGCTTCTCGCTGCCTGGCATTCTCAACGGCCAGCTTTTCAACCTGAAACAGAAGAAAGGATGAACACAATATTAATATCTACATTCATTTTGTACTGGCATATCGCAAATGCTGCTTAAGATTCATAGATCAAAAGTAGATCTTGATGATTGGTGTTAATGTTTTATTATCAGTAGGCTAAACATCCAATAGGAATGTGCAAAAGCTCTCGTCACAGGATCATTGTATACAATTAAAATTGCTGTAAAGCATTTTTTTTTACTGCAATAAGAATGTTCATGACCATTTTACTGAATATATTTCTGCCTGGTACTAAATCTTGATATGTTACAGATTCATAAAATTAGAGCAGCAAGCCCATTAGCCTTTGGTAGACAGACGGAGAACCAACATGAGCTCTAGCAAGCAACAATTGCTCCAAGATTTATTTGTTGAAAATATAGGGTTTGGGTTATGAATGGGTTTAAGGTTAGGGTTAGTTATAGGTACAATGTTTGGTTCCTGTTCAAGTCAGGAATTTGATATAAGCAAAGGATATGGATTTCAAAGGAGCAATAGTGTCATTAGTTCTTGGACCAGACAGACTTGGTCTAAGAACTTCTAATAGATTTAAAGATAAAGTTGAGTTCTGGTCATGCGATTGCATTGTGAAAGAAACGTTGTGGAATCGATCAGAAAAGGTTGATCATCTAGCAAATAAGTATTGGTGTGTACTGCAAGGTTCTGGAATCATCAAACTTATTAAAGAAATTTGGCCCAGTCTTGGTAAAGTTACAAGCACTGTACAAAGAAAGATGTATGTGGGACCACATGAACATGTGGCGAAAAAATCTGTCCTGATTTTTATGAGGTTTCATGCCATACTTTGAATATTAAGGCTTTTGAAGAGCCATGCTTTTCAGAGAACATTTGTTATCTGATGTTCTTCCACACTTGCATAGTACAATGATAACGCTCACAAATTATTTTTTTACCTCTTCCCAGAACTCAACCTTCTCTTTAATAGCTAAATTACACAATGTAAACCAATAGAAGCAGGTTTGATTTTGAGATCACATACCTCCATCTTGAGTCTATCTTGTTCCACTTCTAAAGATTCTTTCTGAGTGACTCGCTTCTCACGACAGTTTGCTGCATAGCCCCTGTTCTTTAGGGTACGACGACGTTGCTTAAGCTGTACCACTTGATCCTTAGGCAAGCCCCGAAGCCGACGGTTCAGCTCGCGAACCGAGAAGCTCATCAACTCGTCATCATTGATCACTTGTTCGGGCGGCTGCACAGGAATCTCCTGCCGCATCTAAATAGAAAAAAGAAAAAAGAATTGCTTCATTTAAAAGAGATGTGAGCACAAGTTTTTCTTTTGTGAGTGTATGGATCCTGACAAGATGAAGTGAGTTGAAGAAAAGAGAAGAGAAAAAAAGAAAAGAAAACAAATCTAAAGAGAAGAGGAGATAACAGGTATTGGTAAAAACATGTTACCAAAATAATGAAGCACAAGTTATTACAAATCAATAACCTGTATCAAAGAAATATACAAGTTAAAGAATGATCGCTTGGGCCAGGTTTCTCTGCTTTAGAGAATAGTTAACACAAACCTGGAAATGGCAACAAAGTTCATATCAATTTACTTTGTTTACCTTCTTAGGAGAGCAAACAATTTATAGTTTCGTAACAGAAAAATGATTTTATGTAGGTTTAGCTCATGCCTTTGTATCGTGCAACATTTACTATGTCATTGACAAGTACACATTGAATAAACATCATAAAATGAAGGGTGATTGGATGAAACAACAATTTTTTATTAAAGTCATAAAATTCAGGAGAGAATTTTTATCATCACATATAAGTATCAGAAATGCAGTTTCGACTGCTTCGATGGAGCTGTTAGAAATCTGATCAGATTTCTAATCTGGATTAAATCTTCTGCAAAAAAGTCAGAAGAAAACCACTCTGCACTGTGTACTACAATTAACTTGGCATATATCTGTTGAGACCACAAATTATGGTCCAACTTATGCCACAAATTGGACTTAGGAAGTGTAGATAACACATTTTGCGTAGTTTGGTCCAAAAATTCATTTGACTAAGGGAAAAATTGACTTGTGCAAATTGGAGTTACTATGCCGAGGTAACTGTATACAGTTTAATCCTTTTCAGTACTGCATAAATTGTTAAAATACTCAACATAAATTGGTAAGGAATACACTCTCCTTCATTTTTTATCATTCTGAATCACCAAGAAAAATATGTTTCATTAAAAGGTTTCAATACACTCACAATTTAGTTAAAACCAACACCACCAACAATAACAACAGCACCGACAAAAACATCAAAGGAATAAAAACATCTGTACACATTTCAAATCATCATATCAGTTAACAAGAGATTGTTCTACATTGGATTTACTTGTACTGCCGGTTTGCGTTCGTCCTTGCGAGTGGTTTGGTAAAGGCAGCCATTCCCGGGGTTGGACAAACGCTACGGGAGGACTGTCTGCACTGGAAATTATACGATAGGTACAACCCAAAGATTTTCAAGTTATTATTAATTACGTTCAAGAGTACGTCTATAGCCTCATATTGTAATACCTTCTTAACATATTTTCCTCATTGCTCTTGTATCACTGTTTTAATGTAGTCAGTTAAGAACTGTTTACAATCAAACAGAAAAACTACAAGAACATCAACATAAAAAGAAAGGTTGTCACAACTTCTCAATCTCTTCTTCACATCGAGGTGAACAGAATGGTACATGTACCAGTAGGTACTTTCAACAGGGTAAAGGCTTGTTCAGAATGGCGCGCTAAACCGCCTCAGAATATGTTCTTTTTTACGTGTAAATCAATGGCAACAGGCAACTGCACATAACAAATGACTTGAGGATATTTACTGAGCTTTGTGTCATAAGAAATGTAAAATGTTTTACACTTTTAAATACATCTGTACATCATCATAAAAACTGCTGCGGTTTTGTCGCGTCATATCTGAACAAGCCTTAATTGTGAATACACCTGTACAATACTACATGCACGTCAAGTATTTGAATGCAAAATTATTATTATTTTTTTTTTAAGAATGCGATTCATACTTCTACATTTCAAAGTAAACAACCCCCAAATAAATATTCAGTTACAGCTGGAAGGTGAAATTTTATGAAAAAAACACACACATTTGATAACATTTTGGAAAAATGGAAACACTACCGGTACCGTGTTTGGTGAAATGAAATGTCAGAATAATTTGGGGGTATAATGAGCTTGAAGAAGCACACTGGTTGGTACTACAAGAATGTAAGTTTAAAATTCACAAATGTGCAATGCTAATGTACATACATGTACAGATGCAGATATGCAAAAATTGATCAATGTTTATAATGAGAACGAAAAATGTAAGATTAAATGATTTGATGTCAAAAAAACTTCATGTACATTATATGAAGTTCACATATCACTATAGCTTGAAAGGCAATTGTTTTTACATTCTTGTGGTGATACATTGACTCATTGACGTTTAGCAAGTGAGTCGAAATAAATGTACAAGCAGTTGAAATATGATTGATGATTTTGAAAACATTTTATTTTTTAGAAATTCTCAATGGAGTCGGGAATCAACATAACTTTTAACGACAACATATTAATGATATGATATGATAGAAGAAGAAAATGGATACCTTAGAGAAAGAGGTATATATTTAAATGCCCCAAGTATGTTAATTTTGAGCATGACCAGTCCACTTTAATATGAATATAAATATAAATATACATGTAAATCAAAATATGAATATACAAATATGAATAGGATTTCTGTATGTGCAACCCTGTACATACAGGGGGCGCTTCTGTCGACTTTCCCTTTACATGTGTACTGAGGGCTTGTGGTGATGCTCAGGGGAAAGGGGGAAATACCCTCTTCCCTAGCCACTGATCCTAAACAGGGGGAAGGGGAAATGACTGATGGGGGGCCCTCTCAGGGGACCAATCGACTCTTAATCCCTTGAAACAACTCAGGACCTGGCATTCTGGCACTTGTGTGGTTTCTTCTTCCTTTCAATACCCCCCTCCACTCTCATTCCCTCTGTTTCTCTGTCTCTCAAGTTTTCTTGCTCTCTCCCCGCCAACTCTCTAACAGCAAAAATATACTTTCAAGCTCAGTTTCGTTTTGTTCATGAACAACAACAAATCCTTAGAAGTACTATCTCTACTCTCTAGTTGTTAATATTTTCTCAGAGATTTTTCCATGGATCGTAACAGCTAAATTAATCGATGCTTTTTCCTAAATATATATCTCTCTCTCCCTCTCTTTCGTTTGTCTCCCCTGTTGCCTTTTAAATTCATACCTCTATGTCATTACTTCCCTGTGCATGTGTTGTCGTCTAGTAGAAAAGTTAACAGACTATATGGTCTGGATACGATTGTGCAATGTGCACTCCAACAAGCCAATACAATGGTTAAACCTCGCTATTCTGTACTTTTTCTCTGTCACTTCAGGGTGACTTTCCCTCTTTTCACTCCCCTTGTGTTCCCCTTGATATTTCTAATTACCTCTCATTATCACTCATGCTCTCTCTCGCTCTCTCTCTCTCTCTCCCTCACTCTCTCTCTCTCCCTCTCCTTCTCTCTCTTTCTACGCTCTAGACACATACGAGGAGAAACACGACCCGAGGTTATGTACCAAGATCCTATCTCCATCCCGCTTCATAAATTTCCCTTCTTCAGCACTTTAATTCATAAGGGAAATGACTACATTAATGCGTTAAAGGAGATATTTCATGATCCAATGACAACCTCCTCACCTCCTAAAGAGAAAGCTCGTTTAATCTGATGTCGTTCCATTGACTGATTTTAACTGCCACTGACACAGAGTCCATGGAGATTTTTTCGGAAGGATTAAGGCACTTTATAAAAATTATAATTTTATGGAGAAAACATGAGAAGTTGTTGGTTTTTATTATGCTGATGCATCAAATAGAAAGCAATTTCAAGGAAACATTATCTTTCTAGTTTCTACCATTCTATTTGATTCTTATCTTGAGGCATACTTTACGAGCCATGTAATTTGTTGTTACCAGTAATGACAAAGTAAAAAAGTGATTTGTGAGCTCTTTTTTTTCTGAGTCTCTAATAAAGGATTTGAACTATTGTTAGTAATAACAAGGCAAGTACCGGTATTGTTTCAAGATTTGAAATTCTTGGCTGACATGGCCATGGCTGAATATTTCTTCAATTTCAGTTTGGGGCATTTTTCCGAAAGCCTACTGAATGATGAACAATACTTGCATATTTTGTGATAGAATTGAAAAAAAATGTCAATATTAATATCAAGACATAATTTCTTATCCACATCTATTTCACAATCTTAAACTGACCTCCTTGAGATTATTCCCATTTTATAACTCAAATTGATGTAAATTCTTATGAATTAAATCCAAAATGTCAAGGCAATATTGAGCTTAATTGAGTACCCTTGATCTAGTGGCATTTTGTCCTTTAAACATTGTAAGGTTCGTTCGTCATGGACTGTTATTAGTACATCATGAACTTTTCAAAACTAATTTAGCAGTTCCTTGGAAACAAAAGTGATGACAGACAACTTCACCAAAGTCTGAGCTTTTCATGTGCTACAATGTGTCTCATAAAAACACATGGAAATGAGATAATCTAATATATTGGCCTGTTATAAGGAACACTCATGTTATTTATGAAATGCAGCAGAAATTTGGTAAATTATGTTAAACACCTGAAATTTTAAATCTTTGCATTTCACAAATTTTAACTCCATATGAGTGAAATAAAAAGCAAATATGCCAGTAACAACAAAATATATCCCTAAAATATTTAAGAAATTAAAGGGTAAAAGACAAAAGAATGTGAGGATATTTTAAGATGACCGGAAAGTCTTTATTATTAATTTAGAATATAGAAATATGGAGGGGGTTTTATGGTTCTGATTTTCACAAAATAGTACCGGTAGACTAAAATTGGATACACAACATAACAATACTTATCAGGCTAAGGATATTATGCGGGCATTTTTATATCGACATGAAATAAGAAAATCCCCCTCCACACTCCCCACTCACCCCACCAACAACTAGGCCAGGGGGGTGTTTCACAAAGATCCTAAGTTGAACTTAACTCTAAGTTGGACTTAAAAATTATGGAGAGCCATTTGTAGCCTTAAAATTAAATATATTCAAAAGCTAAAATTCAAGTATTTTAGACTTTTTATAAATTCCAAATCGAGAACATGAAATATCCTTGATAATAGAAAATATGAATGATTTGAATAAACATTCTAT